AAAAAAAAAAAAAAATTATACATGGATTATCAACTGTGTGGGGGTCAGTACCCCTAGCTCCCACATTGTTCAAGGGTCGACTGTAGTTTAAGTAGCCAGAGCTGACTAATGGTTACCTTACTGGGTAGCAGAGGTCTAGGAGATGTGTCTGGACTATTCTTTTTGAGGGGTGAGGATTGCTAATTAGGGGCACTGAGAGGTCACAGGGCAGATCTCACAGGTCTCAGCCTTTGAGGGGTCATGGACAGGACAGCTGTCCCTGAAGCCTGGGCTCATTTTCTTTCCCTCTCTAGGATACAGGCTCCCTCTTCTGACAGTTACTTGCCCAGGTGGATGAAATACCCGGGCTACCTACTTGACTCATTTCTACCTCCACTGGCAAAAAGAACTCACGGCACTAAAGAAGTGAATGTATCCAAGCAAATTCTGGGGGTCAGACACAAAGGATGGATCACTCATTTGAGAAACACAGTGCATATATAATTCAGCATCTAATTATTGGAAAATTAAGGACCTCAAAAGCATGCCAATGCATTACAATGCCCTAAAACACTGCTTTTCTAAACCTCAAGATGCATCAAAGTCATCTAGATGACTTTTTTTTTTTTTTTTAAGATAGAGTCTCACTGTGTTGCCCAGGCTGGAGTGCAGTGGCGCAATCTCGGCTCACTGCAACCTCTGCCTCCCAGATTCGAGGCCTTCACAGTCTCTGTGGATTAGTTTGCGTTTAATAAAACTTGCCTGACCCACCTCACGGGGTACTGGTAAATAAAAGGGGTGCGGATGAAAAATGCTCTGGCCTGGCTTTCAGTTGGAATGCTAAAATTAAGCTGTTTCATGATCTATTGAACACGAAATTCACAGCAGGTCCCTATATGCCTGGAGCCTCTGCCCTATCACCATGTCCAAGCCAGCCTCCTCTTCCTCTTCCCCTCAGTCCTCCCACCTTGTGGGATAGCTTGGCCTGGGGTGGTGATTCCAGTCCCAGAGTGCAATAGCGGTGGCCTGGTGAGAACAGGCCACACAGCCAAGGCTCTCAGGCCTGGACAGGCACAGTACCCAACAGGCGTGGGACTGGTAGATGGGGAAGCACCTGATCCTCTGAGGCCATAGTCTCTTTTCATTTCACGTTTTTTTTTTGTTTTTTGAGACAGAAGTCCTCACTTTGTTACCCTACGGCTGAAAGTGCAGGTGGCATGAATCTCCAGCTCTTTGCAGCTAACTTCCCCAGGCTCAAGCAACTTCCCCCACCACGCACCATACAGCAGCCTCACAAGTAACTAGGGACCACAGCATGTACCACACACCCAGCTAGTTCTGCTCATTTTTTAGAGACCGGGGTCTCCTATGTTGGGCTAGGTAGCCTCAAACCCTGGACCCAAGCGATCCACTGCCACAGCCTCCTGAGTTAGCCTTGTGCCACCCATAGCAGTACATGCCCCACACCAGCTAATTGTTTCACTTATTTGTAGTGACGAGTCCCCTATGTTCGCGGCTGTTTAAACTCTGGCTTGAGCATCCTCCGTCTTGATCTCAAAGTGGCTGGATTAACACATAGCCCTACTGCGTCTTCTGGTTGAGCACATCCTACCTACCTCCTGCAGCGCCCTCGGTACTTACTGCTTGAGACGCAGCCCAGCGCTGTTGTTAACAGCCCTCGATCTCATAGTTGGTCCAAATAGAGGGTCATCTCCAGCAAGCAAGGTTGTACCATCAGCGGTCGTGATGGTTTTCCTTTAAACTGGTTACCCCACCACGGCAGCCGCCAGGCAGTACCTGAGGGGAAGAGGGCGAAGGGCACCAGTGATCGGAGTCAGCTTGCTGGGCTCATAGCAAAAAAAAAAAATGATACTGGAAGCAGGATGCTGTCCAAAGGCTTCCCGGTTGGTGGCCGGGAAGTGCCTGCTGCAAGTCTGTGCTGTCCGAAGGGGCCTGCCAGCAACATGCAGCTGCTGAGGACTTGAAATGGGTTAGTGCAACCGAGGGAAGTGAATTCAATTTTTTTTTTGTTTTTTTTTGAGACGGAGTCTTGTCTTCCCAGGCTGGAGTGCGTGGCTGGACTCGGCTCACTGCAACCTCGTGCCCTCCCCCGCCCAGCATCCAACGTAAATTCTCCCGCCTCGCCCTCCTGAACTAGCGGGACACAGGCTGTGCCACACACCCACTAATTTTTTGTATTTTTAGTAGAGACGGGGTTTCACCATGTTGGCCAGGATGGTCTCAATCTCCTGACCCTGTGATCCACCCACCTTGGCCTCCCAAAATGCCAGGATTACAGGCATGAGCCACTGTGCCCGGCCTGGAAGACTTTTTTAAAAGCAGTTTTCTGAGCCTCTCCTTAAAGTTTCTGGTTTGGTAGGTCTTGGAGAAACTTGATAATTTGCATTTCTGACCAGTTCTCAGGTGACGCTGATGCTATGGGTGCTGGGACCACACTTTGAGAACCACTGCCCTTCAGGATTAGTGGAAAACCCACAACAAAATTAACCAATACAGAGCAGTTAAGCCACTGCGAGGGTGTGTACGTGCAGGAATGAGACACACGAAGTTGCGTAGCATTTTGCAGCCAAAATCTAGAATATCAATGAGAGTTCTCAGTAACCTCAAATAACTTATGAATTTGAACTTATGAATGCCACATTTTAGTGACCCTTAATGACTCTCATTTAGGTTAAGTCCCTCAGTCAAATGCAAAGATAAGGGTCTGTATAACTGGGCCTCATTTCCAGTAATAACCAAAGAAAGAACTTTCACTTTTCCATCAATTCTTCGGCCAGCTGGTAGCTGGTTTCTCCGCTCACGGGTCAAGAGAATTCTGGCCTGTGATGGAACATTCGAGGCTTCCCAGAGGGTTGCCCCTCGGATAGTTACTTCCTTCTTCTCTTGTCTCCTTGTAGGCCTGTTCCTATGTCAGCCCATACAGACTCCCCTCTCAAGCATTCCTGCTGGTGTCCAGGGGTCTTGCTGCTGGAAGTTCTGCTAGGTGTCTAACCTAAATCCTTCCTATCATTGTGTAGGCACTTCCTGTTGCCTGGTCCTTGCTAGATGGCAAAGGGCCTGCCATAAATTTGCACTGTTTTCCAGTCCATTCCCGATCTTCCCCCATGCCTTTCCCCTCGGGACTGGACTCCTGTCCCCAGGGTGGACACCCACCTGATGATGTAGCCCTTGAGAATCCCATTCTGGTGGCTCTCAGGAGGCGGCTGCCACTGGATCATGATGGACTGGTTGGTTCGACCGCTGGCAATGACGTTCTGTGGAGGGGCCGTGGGGGGCTCCTCAGGGAGGGAGACCCTGGATCACAAAACACCAATGCTCTTAGTCGTGGAGTCAAACACAGGAGTTTAATGGGATATGAGGAGGCTGAACCCTGGCCTGCTCTGACACTGGATAATTCTGTACAACTGCTGTGTGCATTTGGGCAAGTCACCTAACCTGAGACATATATATATGTTTGTCTTTTAAAAACTGTAAGGCCAGATGCTGTGGCTCATGCCTATAATCCCAGCACTTTGGGAGGCTGAGGCAAGAGGATCACTTGAGGGCCAGAGTTCAAGACCAGCCGGGGCAACATGGCAAGACACTGTCTCTACCAAAAAAACAAAAATTAGCCGGGCATTGTGGCTCATGCCTATAATCCCAGCACTTTGGGAGGCTGAGGCAAGAGGATCACTTGAGGGCCAGAGTTCAAGACCAGCCTGGGCAACATGGCAAGACACTGTCTCTACCAAAAAAAAAAAAACCAAAAAAAACAAATCCAGCGTGGTGACTTGCCTGTAAGCTTAAATACCTGGGAGGTTGAGGTGGGAGGATGGCTTGAGCCTAGGAGGTTGAGGCTGCAGTGAGCTGTGTTTGTATCGCTGCACTCCAGCCTGGTAACAGAAAGAACTAATGTACATGTCTTTGGTGCTGTTGAGGGGTGTAAGTTTCAGTTTCCTATTTGTCAAAGAAGCTGCTGTTGGGGCTGATGAGGTCATGAGTGTCCAAGCATTCTAGAAGCAGCAGTGTTGGTCACATCCCAGTGACCAGCTGCTGGTATACTTTAACTAGGCCTCCTCTGCTAGTCAGCTGAGCCCCGGGCGGAAGCAGGGCAGGCATGGCGTATGGGGGTGAGAGCCAAGGGCACCCACTCTGCTTCCGGAGCCAAGCACGACAGCATGTCTTTCTCTGGCATTGCTGGGGGATGCCGTGTTCTGCCTAAGTGTACTTTTCACATTACAGACACGTGTCCATTCCAAACAAAAGTCAATTGTTTTTGATCGATGTCTTTCCCTTTTTGTTTATGTTTTTGCTTTTTGATGGATAGCTTTCCTAAGCATGCCGCTCGCTCCCATGTTTTATTTGAGACAGTTTTGCTATTTCGCCGAGGTTGGAGTGCAGTGGCATGATCTCAGCTCACTGCAACCTCCGCCTCCCGGGTACAAGCGATTCTACTTCCTCAGCCTCGAGAATAGCTGGGATTATAGGTGCCTGCCACCAAGCCTGGCTAATTTTTTTTTTTTTGTATTTTTAGTAGAGACGGTGTTTCACTGTATTAACCAGGATGGTCTCAATCTCCTGACCTCGTGATCCGCCCGCTTTGGCCTCCCAAAGTGCTGGGATTACAGGCGTGAGCCACCGCGAGGCCTAGCTAATTTTTATATTTTTAGTAGAGACGGGGTTTCGCCATGTTGGCCAGGCTGGTTTCAAACTCCTGACCTTAGATGATCCACTTGCCTCAGCCTCCCAAAGTGCTGGGATTACAGGCATGAGCCACCGTGTCTAGTCTGCTCCCATGTTTTTGTAGAGGCTGGGGTAAGAGTGATGTGGCCTTTTTCTTTTTTGTTTTTGAGACAGGGTTTCACGCTTGTCTCCTAGGCTGGAGTGCGGTGGCACGATCTCAGCTCACTGCAAACTCTGCCTCCTGGGTTCCAGCGATTCTCCTGCCTCAGCCTCCTGAGTAGCTGGGATTACAAGCACGTGCCGTCACGCCCAGCTAATTTTTGTATTTTGAGATGGGGTTTTACCATGTTGGCCAGGCTGGTCTCGAATTCCTGACCTCAAGTGATCCGCCCCCACTTGGCCTCCCAAAGTGCTAGGATTACAAGTGTGAGGATTTAGCCTTTTCCTTGGTGACTCAGGGCCGTTAGCATGAAGGCACATGAGGAAGGTGAGTCAGTGTGATGTGGTACAGCCGCAGGGAAGGAGAAACTGCAGGGTAGCTGCAGCTTTCAGCCTCTCTGTTGTTGGGATTTTGTATCTCCAGATGGGCTGGGGCTGTGTCTGTTCATTCCCCTCTCCAGTGGTCCAAACATGGCATGGCACATAGTAGCTGCTCAGTAAACAGTGAATATGTAAATCCTCCTGTAACCGCTCTCCACATGGGCTGCCACTTGCTACTGCTCCCTCCTGTGAGAGTGTCTTGACGCCAGTGGTGCTATCCTAGTACAAGCCAGAGAGACCGAAGCTTATTGCAACTGTGGCAAAACGACCAGGATTGATTTAAGCCCCAGGCATCTTTTAAAGAGCCAAGTGCACAGCTTTGCACATGTGATTTGTATCATGGTTGTTCTGACCTCTCCCTTGACATCTTTCTTGCTAGAAGTGGCTGCTTGTTCTACGGAGCTGGAGAGGATAGAATTCTCCTTCTACACAGATGGGTATCACTGTGTGATTTTTTTTTTTGAGACGGAGTCTTGCTCTGTCGCCCAGGCTGGAGTGCAGTGGCAGGATCTCAGCTCACTGCAAGCTCCGCCTCCCGGGTTTACACCATTCTCCTGCCTCAGCCTCCCGTGTAGCTGGGACTACAGGTGCCGCCACCATGCCCGGCTAGTTTTTTGTATTTTTTTAGTAGAGACAGGGTTTCACCATGTTAGCCAGGATGGTCTCAATCTCCTGACCTCGTGATCCGCCTGCCTCAGCCCCCCAAAGTGCTGGGATTACAGGCTTGAGCCACCGTGCCCGGCCTGTGTGATGTTTTTATATGAAGTACCTGCTGTTTTTACTCAATTTCCTTCTGTTTTTTTGAGACAGAGTCTTGCTCTGTCACCCAGGCTGGATCTCGGCTCACTGCAAGCTCTGCCTCCCAGATTCAAGCGATTCTCATGCCTCAGCCTCCCAAGTAGCTGGGATTACAGGTGCCCACCACCACGCCCAGCTAATTTTCATATTTTCAGTAGAGACGTGGTTTTGCTGTGTTGGCCAGGCTGGTTTCGAACTCCTGACCTTAGGTGATCTGCCTGCCTCAGCCTCCCGATGTGCTGGGATTACAGGCGTGAGCCACCATGCCCAGCAATTTCCATCATTTTAAAAAAGCTTTGTGGGAACCCTAGCAGAGCCTGGCGTCGTGCAACATGTGGCTATGGAGATCTGTGTAGATACTGTATCTCTCTGGAATTTTGCATCCATTTAACAACGAGAGTAGGATAGTAGCCCATGCAGATGTGGAACGGAAGGAGGTGACCTTTGAGCTTGCACAGCTCCCAGTAACCGGGATGACTACATTTGGCTGGTGCTCACCGCGTTCCCCAGTGCCGTACTCACATCACCCCGTTAAACCTTTGCAACATCCTGGCGAGGTGCTCACCAGGATTGCGCTCCCCTTCTACAGAGGAGGAAGACTAGAGAGGGCCAAGAGAAGCTGAGCCAGAATCTGCCACATGGGTTTCGGCTGCAGCCCCTCCCTGTTGGAGTCTTGATGATGCCCCTGTAGAGCGCCCACTGCCCTCACCTCTCGGTGTCTTTGCTGAACTGTCCTTTCCCCACATCGTTGACGGCACAAAGACGGAACTGGTAGGAGCGTGCAGGAACCAGGCCCTTGACTGTCACTGAGGTAGCTTTGGGGTCCACACTGGCCAGGAGTATAGTCCAGGGGGCATCTGCAGGGACAGTGAGTGGGGCAGAAGTGGGCATCTTGGGTGGGATGGGGCGTGCTTCTTACTCCCCACTCCCAGCAGGGTCCAGCCTCATTGGGGCTGGCAAGAGACAGCCTCCCCAGCTTGGTCCAGGAGTGGCCCGCCATGCCATTTTTCTAGGTCCCATTAGCTCACACGACCCTGGGGGAGGAGAGGATGGGGGGTGCCGGAGCAAAGTAAGGGCTCATGGGAACTGAGATGCCTTCGTCTCCCCCACTACCCCCCACAAATCGATAAGCTCTAGGCAAGCTGTGTTTAAAAGGCCATTCAGGCTGGGTATGGTGGCTCACATCTGTAATCCCAGCACTTTGGGAGGCTGAGGTGGGCAGATCACCTGAGGTCAGGAGTTTGAGACCAGCCTGACCAACATGATGAAACCCCATCTCTACTAAAAATACAAAATTAGCTGGGCATGACGATGTATGCCTGTAATCCCAACTACTCGGGAGGCTGAGACAGGAGAATCACCTGAACCTGGGAGGCGGAGGTTGCAGGGAGCTGAGATGGCACCATTGCACTCCAGCCTGGGTGACAAGTGTGAAACTCCGTCTCAAAAATAAATAAATAAATAAAAATAAATAAAATGCAATTCAAATGATGCCTGCTAATTTGACTTGGGGAATAAATAAATAAATAAATAAATAAATAAATAATAAATACTGGCCATTTTCTTTGCAGCTTCTGCTGTGTCAGGCCCTGAGTTAAGCACCTCTTGTGCATCATCTCTTTCAACTGTAACAGGGCCTGACAGGCAGATGCCTGTGTTTTCTTCAGAGATGGGGAAGCTGAGGCTGCCAGAGGGAGGACTCTGCTCAAAGGCCCGGAACTAGGAAGCAGGAGAGCTGGGACCCCAGCCCAGGGCTGACTCCTAAGTCCAAGCTTGGGCAGGGGGTGCTGGAGGTGACCACAGGAACCTTACTGTTCTCCGACATCTCCAGGACGTAGCGGAGCAGGGGGCTGTTGCCGTCAAAGGGCTTGGTCCACGTCAGGTTGATGGCTCGTCTTTCCACGGTGCTGAGAGTGGCCACTGGGTGCTCGGGTGCGTGGGGCAGTTGCCTGGAGGAGAGAGACACGTGGTCAGGCATCCCTGTGTGGTCCGCAGGCAGGTGACAGGGACACTGTAGACATAGGTTGTGTGGGCCTTGCGCTTCCATGATTGCTCATGCTCAGACATAAAATGTGGCCTTCGGGCCATCTACCTGGAGATGTTTCTCTCTGGAATCAGAGCCCTCCGGCTAACGCCATCCTCATATATCCCAGTTCTTGACGGGGGTCCTAACTGAGAGAAAGGTCTGGAAGGATGCTGGGGGCGTGTCCTGAGCAAAGCTGAACAGTTCATGCCACGTGTGGCCTGGGGGTCTGACCAAAGGGACTTGGCTGGCTCTGAGCCTCCCAGTTGCCGTTGCCTGGACCTCCTCTGCCCGGGCCTGGGAGGGCTGCCCTTACCTGACTCGCAGGTGGGCACTGCGAGAGTCGTTGCCTCCCGCCGAGATCACCCGGCAGGTGTACGTGCCGATGTCTCCCGACCACGTCTGTGAGATGTGCAGGGAGCCGTTTCTGTCCAGGCGGATACGGGGATTGCTCTCCACGCCCAGGGTGGCCCCGTCCTTCTCCCAGATGTACCTAAAAGTAAGAAGAACCCGTAAGTACAGAGGGAGAGGAAGGTGCCTCGGGAGTGGGCTCAGCCTGAAGCTTGTCCTGAGAAAATATCTCCAAAGCTGGGCAGAGGACCATTGCAGGCAACAGCCGGGCAGGACACTGGGATGGGGAAGCAGGACTGTTGAAGGCCAGGCAGCCTGGAAGCCCATCATTCCTGCGGGGAGGGTGCTGTGTCCGGGAGAGTGAACACAGTCAGTCATTATTGGTCTTTACACCTTCAGTTCAGGTCGGGTCAAAGCGTTGTTGCTTCTGGCCAGAAGCGACTGCAAAACACCCAGTGAAAGGTATTCTGAAGAGGTTAAAAGATTACAGCTGAAAAAAGGAATTCAAGTTTCCGCATAGACGACATTTAGGAATTAGTTTTACGAGGGGAATCATGATATCAATGCATCAGTGTGACAAATTGACTTTAGTGTCCAAAAAATCACTTTAGCTTCGGTCAGTCAATACAAACGGGGCTTGAGAAATTACACATGCACCAGTGCCTGACAATAAAAAAAATCTTCTCTGGATTTGTTCTTGAGGAAATAGAACCATTTTCATTGTCATCCACGTGCAGGGAGTGCCAGCCCTGGGGGGCAGGATGCCACGCAGTGACCCCAGGGAAGGTTGGCCTTGGTTCTCAGCACAAGTGTGAGGAACCTGGTGGTGGCTGAGGTGCCTTGCAAATAGCCCCGGTCAACTGCGGTACAGGGTGGGGGCCTAAGCTGCTGCCTCCCAGGACTATCTGGGTTTATGGAATGTCAGATAACTACGGAGAATGAATCTATAATATTTTTAACCTAAGTTTCAAAAGCTGAAACAGGCCGGGTGTGGTGGCTCACACAGGTAATCCCAGCACTTTGGGAGGCCAAGGTGGGTGGATCACCTGAGGTCAGGAGTTTGAGACCGGTCTGGCCAACATAGCAAAACCTTGTCTCTACTAAAAATACAGAAATTTGCCGGGCGTGGTGGCCACTGCTTGTAATCGCAACTACTCTTGAGACTGAGGCACGAGAATCACCTGAACCCAGGAAGTGGAGGTTCCAGGGAGCTGAGATGGTGCCACTGAACTCCAGCCTGGGCGACACAGCAAAACTCCGTCTCAAAAAAACCAAAAAAAGCCCCCACAAAAAACAGAAGCAGAACTAACAGAAAAGTAAAAAGTACAGGTAAGAAAGAAAAAAAGAAAGGAAAAGAAAAAGAAAACTCAAAAGTTTTCCGATAATGGGGAACCATGATTAACATTTGAGTGCGTGCCTATCTTCCAGACCCTCCTTCCCTGCCCGGACAGGCAGTGCACGGCAGCACTGCTACACTCAGGAGTCAGACTCTCAGGCCAAAGGCTGGCTTTGCTACTTTCCAGCTTTGTGATTTTGGGTGAGCTCATTTATTAATGCATTTATTTATTTTAGACAAAGTCTGGCTCTGTCGCCCAGGCTGGAGTGCCGTGGTGCAGTCTTGACTCACTGCAGCCTCCACCTCCCAGGTTCAAGTGATTTTCGTGCCTCAGCCTCCCAAGTTGCTAGGACTACAGGCAAGCACCACCATGCCCAGTGAATTTTTGTATTTTTAGTAGAGATGGGGCTTCACCATGTTGGCCAGGCTGGTCTCAAACTCCTGACCTCAAGTGATCTGCCTGCCTCAGCCTCCCAAAGTGCTGGGATTACAGGCGTGAGCCACTGTGCCTGGCCTTGGGTGAGTTTATTTAACCTTGCTGGGCCTCAGTTTCCTCACCTGTAATATGAGGAAACTAACACCACCCACCTCACTGCACTGCTGTGAGGATTGTGCGAGCTGATATAAATTAGAGTAGTGCCTGAACCATGGCAAGCGGTCAGTAAAAGTTAGCCATCGTTATACATTTTAAATGATACAGTATATTTACATGAATGGTACATAGCAATCTATTCAGCCATCCTGTTTTTATTTTTTATTTTCTTTTATTCTTTTTGAGACACAGTCTCACTCTGTCACCCAGGCTGGAGTACAGTGGCATGATCTTGGCTCACTGCAACCTCCACCTCCTGGGTTCATGTGATTCTCCTGCCTCAGCCTCCTTGGTAGCTGTGATTAAAGGCCTGTGCCACCATGCTGGGCTAAGTTTTTTTTTTATTTTTATTTTTAGTAGAGATGGGGTTTCTCCATGTTGGCCGGGCTGGCCTCCAACTCCTGACCTCAAGTGACCCACCCGCCTCAGCCTCCCAAAGTGCTGGGATTACAGGCTTGAGCCACAATGCTTGGCCAGTCATCCTGTTTTTAAAGCTGCTTTTTGACTCAATAAAAATATCATAAACTCTTTTTGATGTGACATTTCCACACCATGATTTTTTATTGGATGCACAATGTTTCAGTACAGCTGCTTTGTAATTTAACCAATCCCATAATGTTGGACATCCAGTTTAGCTCCTTGTTTTCCAATATTATAGTTAAAGCTGTGGTCCTTATGGCAAAACGTTTACAACTGTTCCAAATCACTTCCTCAAGCACAAATTCTCAGCAGTGAAATTGTTGAGTTAATTTTTAAGGTTTATACCTATTTACAAATCAACAACAGTAATCACCTTCAAATTCATCTCTTTATTTAGAAAGGACTTGCCAGCACTCATAAGATGGGCAGAATTTTACTTAAATGCAAATTCAGTTGCAGAGAGTAATTCCCATGTAGGAAATAGCCTATGGCAAGCAGACATTCTTTGCTTCAGAATGTGGTGCTTTAGGAAGCAGAGATCATTGCCTGTGAAGTATTTGTGCCAAAACAACTGAACGTGAATCTAATTAGCAGTTACTGCAATCAAATTAGAAATACAGGGGATAGAAAAACAGGTTCACAACACTGTGAGAAAGCAGCCAGGCAAATCCAGGATGTTGAATATTCCATAGCAGGATCAACAAACTGTGGCCTGCTGCCTGTTTGTGTAAATAAAGTTTTATTAGAACACAGACATGCCCATCTGTTTATGTAGTGCCTGTTTATATATGGCTGCTTTAGCACTATAAACAGAGTTGAGTAGTCATAACAAGACCATATGGCTCTCGTAAAGCCTAAATGTTTACTTTTTGGTCCTTTACAGCAAAGATTGCTGACCTCTGTCTTCTAGAACCTGGTTTCTCCAACAAATCAATTATGTGAAAACAAAACAAAACAAAAAGACAAAAATAAAAAAGATGACTTTTCAACAAATGGTGCTGGAAAACCTTGACATCCACATACAAAAAAAAAAGAAAAAGAAAAAAGCCTAGACACAGATCTTACACCCTTCACAAAAATGAACTCAAATTGGATCCCAGATCTAAATGTGAAATGCAAAGCTATAAAACTCCTAGAAGATAATACAGGGGAACATCTAGATGACCTTGGGTTTGACAATGACTTTTAAAATACGACACCCAAGGCACCATCCTTGCCCTCCTGGGTTCATGTGATTCTCCTGCCTCAGCCTCCTTGGTAGCTGTGATTACAGGTGCCCACCACCACTTCCGGCTAATTTTTGTATTTTTAGTAGAGACGGGGTTTCACCATGTTAGCCAGGATGGTCTTGATCTCCTGACCTTGTGATCCGCCCACCTTGGTCTCCCAAAGTGTTGGGATTACAGGCGTGAGCCACCACACCCAGCCTGTAAACAATATCTCTGATAAAGCACTGCTATCCAAAATCTACAAAGAACTCTTAAAACTGGGCAATAAGAAAACAATCTGATTAAAAAATAGTCATTGACAGATGCCTCACCAAAGAAGGTACACAGAAGATTAATAAGCAAATGAAAAGATGTTGTACATCATATGTCATTAGGAAAACGCAAATTAAAACAACAATGAGATATCACAGCACAGCTATTAGAATGGTCAAAATCCAGCTGGGTGTGGTGGCTCACGCCTGTAATCCTAGCACATTGGGAGGCTGAGCTAATTTTCTTTTGTATTTTTAGTAGAGACGGGGTTTCACCATGTTAGCCAGGATGGTCTCGATCTCCTGACCTTGTGATCCGCCCACCTTGGTCTCCCAAAGTGTTGGGATTACAGGCGTGAGCCACCACACCCAGCCTGTAAACAATATCTCTGATAAAGCACTGCTATCCAAAATCTACAAAGAACTCTTAAAACTGGGCAATAAGAAAACAATCTGATTAAAAAATAGTCATTGACAGATGCCTCACCAAAGAAGGTACACAGAAGATTAATAAGCAAATGAAAAGATGTTGTACATCATATGTCATTAGGAAAACGCAAATTAAAACAACAATGAGATATCACAGCACAGCTATTAGAATGGTCAAAATCCAGCTGGGTGTGGTGGCTCACGCCTGTAATCCTAGCACATTGGGAGGCTGAGCTAATTTTCTTTTGTATTTTTAGTAGAGACGGGGTTTCACCATGTTGGCCAGGATGGTCTCGATCTCCTGACCTCGTGATCCACCCACCTCGGCCTCCCAAAGTGCTGGGATTACAGGTGTGAGCCACGGCACCTGGCCAGAAGTGTTTTTTTTCTAGAACTGTTTTGGAGGTTTTCATGCTGGAAACCTGTACCTGCCCAGGCCCTCACCCCTGCACCTGCTCAGGTTGTCACCCCTGCACCTGGATCTGCTCTGAGGACGTGTTACTCAGGGTTCAGCGGCACCACTTTAGTCTGATGTGGTTGTTGAGATCCTTTCTATTAGGTTGGTGCAAAAGTAATTGCAGTTTTGACTATTCCTTTCAAAGGCAAAAACCGCAGTTACGTTTGCACCCACCTAATAGTCTGCTTAGGGAACTCTGCTGTGTTTTGCAGATAGAACAGGGTTTTCAATCCTGGTGACACATTAGAATCACCTGGGGAGCTTTTTTAAACTTGCTGAGGTCTGGGTCCCATTCCATCCTGAAGACCTACCTCAAGACAGAGGGCAGAAGGGATGCCCCCGTTTCCCCAGTCCAAGGAAGACAGACTGGGGTTGGAGCTGCTGGGGTGGCCTTGGGCATAGACGTTGCCAATTTTGGGGGGGACAAAGGGATGATTCTGCTCCCCACCCCCCATCTTGAAAAGATGGTCCTAGATGATTAATTCCGTTTAAGGCGAGGACCGCCCTTCAGTAACCTGGAACAGGGATTTCTGACCTGTAGGTCACTGGAAGGGTCTACAGAGTGGGTCTGCAGGTTACTTGGCAAGAGGCCCCCAAATCCCATTATGCATCAGTAATTGTCTAGAGAATGAATACAATGTATGTCTTTCTCAAATATAAGTTGACACTTTTATAAATAAGTCATCTTTATAAAGATGACATTTTTATAAATAAAATCTGATTTAAAGTGTACTGAATTTCAGAATTTCCCTATTAATGAATGCTAAAAGTATAGCTACTACATAATGAATGGGCCCGAGATGCACAGCAGTATTCTATGTGGGTTCTCTCCCAGGACCTTTTTTACAGTTGGTATGTTAATTTTTTAAGAAAAATCTATTAAACCCAGAAATAAGCATATTCTGGAATTTCTTGTCAACAATCTTCTAACTATTAATACATCTACATAAATTTTTGCATTTGTGCTAGTGTCACGTGATGACTGTCTTAAGTGGTCAACACTTAATGAGGTGTTTCTCAAACTGGGGCCGCCTATATGTTCTCTGAGAATCGGTGTTGGCCAAAAGCCCCGAGCCCCTTGTATCAACCTGGGCTCCCGGAGTCTCATTTGGTGTGGCTGTACAGACTGTCATAGGCCCAGAGACCACCAGATGGCGCCCCAGGACGCAGCTGCCTCCGGCATGAGGAGGAGGAGGCCATTTCTCCCAGTGCAGGAGCTCCGGCCCCTTCCAGCCTCGATGCCAGTTGCTTTGGCAGTGATATTGCTCATAAAATAGAGAAGCAACACGCAAGGAATATTTATTTCTAAGGAAGCAGTTGCATTTCCCTCAGCATTCTGGAGCTCAAGGAAGAGAAGGCAGGGACGATTTCCTCCTGGTTTGAGCTTCCAAAGCCTTGGGGGTGGGGGTAGGGTTTGGTTCGGGTGCTTGGGAGAGGTCCCAGCTTTTATACCTTTCTTGGCTGCTTCCTCCCAGCCCTTTTAGTGGCTTCCACAGCGGGACTGAGTTACCTGGAGGTCAAGTCCTTTGCCAAGGTCCTGGCTTGGCCGTGGCAGATGGTGGGGTGACCTCGGTTTGGACGCTCAGTTTCCCTCATGTGCTTCTCTTGCAGGATCCCCCCCAGGGGTCATCTTCTGCCCCACCCCTACAGCTGATCCCATATCCGCCTGCCCAGACCCCTCTGCTCCCCATTCAGAGGCCAGAGGGCCAAAGACTTGGGGTAGGCTGGGGGACACTAGTGGTGGTGTCCAGGGCCAGAGACAGCAACTCCCTGACATCCATGCTCACCAACCCACAAGCCTCTTCCTTTCCCTTCCCTCACCCCCTCTCCCATTCCTCTTACTTCATCTTTCTGCACCCCTTCCTCTTTACCTCCCGCCTTGGAAACTGGCTTAACTCAATCCAGGGTAGCTCAGCTCCCGGGTGTTTATTTCATATCCCCTACCTCTCAGCCCTGCACTCAGCTCTGGAAATGCCACTGCCCAGGAGGAGGCATGGCTGTGCAGCTCTTACCTCCCTGGTGTGGACACTCGCCCAGCTACAAGCTATTGCCAGAGGCTCCCCCTCCCCTCTTGCCTGGAGTCAACAGCAGAGCCAGTACCTGACCGTCACTCGGGGGTCATGGCTCACTCCGCACACCATGGAGGCCTGGGTGCCCTTGATGACACTCTGGTCCTGCGGGGGCTTGGTGATGCGGGTCCGAGCTGAAAGATACAGCAGAGACAGCGTGGTGAGAAGGGGTGTGGGGGCCGTGTGGCTGGACTCCGGGTGCATGAAGGGAGACTAGGTGCCATACGAAAGTCCCCAGATGGTTAAAAAGAACAGTGAGCTCCCTGGTACTTTAATTCTCGGAAGCCACATCATAGTGGGGGCTCATTAAATTCTGCCCTCACAAACCATGTATGGGATGGAGAGATCAAACTCTAAGGACGATCAGGGCCCTATTTTCAGCATATCAGTGGTCCAGCCAGAGTAAAAATAGGGATTTCTGATTTCCAGTCTAGTGCTTCACACACTAGGACCCCGGGGCTCAGCCCAGACAAGTGGCCCACAGGCATCCTGGGTGTGGATCTGAAGTTGGAAGTGGCCTGAGAAGCTCTCTTACAGCAGGGGTCCGCTAACTACAGGCTGGGGGCCAAATCCGGCAGGTGGCCTTTTTGGCTAAATACACCCTTACTGGAACACAGCCACGCCCATTGGATGACGTATTGTCTGTGGCTGCTTTCTAGATAAAACGGAAGCTAGTTGAGTTGTTGTGACAGAGACCGTCTGGCCCACAAAGCTTACAATATTTATGATCTGGCCCTTTGTTGAAAAAATTTGCCAATTTCTGCCCTAAACTGTATGAAGACAACTCTCCTATAACCTCAGTGTTCTCTCAAGTCGGCCAAGCATAGCATCACTGGCAGAAGCTTTCTAGTCCCTGGCCTCTGAATCACTTTGTCACTGTCCCTCTGATGAGAAGGGCCCTGACTGGGACAGGCACTGGGGGTGGAGACACTGGTGGTGTAAGCCTGTGCCCCACAGCTGTCCTGAGTCCTCAGCACCTACAGAGATGCACACACACACACACCAATGTTTAAAGCCCTGTGGCTCTGCACACTCACCCCAAACGACTAGGTCTGCTGAGGCCTCGTCGACCCCCCGAGAGTTGGTGGCCAGGCAGGTGTAGGTCCCCGCATCGGAGATATGTGTGGGGCTGATGAGAAGGCTGCCCGACTCCAGGGGCGTAAAGCGAGGCAGCTGCACGGAGCCACTGGCCAAGATGCGCTCCCCTGAGGGCAAAACAGGGTGGGGGTCAGCCTATAGCCCCCAAGGGCACACCCTGCCCCTCTCCTGCTGTTCCAGAGCAGCGTGGTCTCCTCGCAGGTCCTCGGCTCTGGAAATGCTGGAAGGAATGAGGACAGATGGCAGTGGGGCTGGGGTGGGGGCTGAGAGACCTGGAGAGCTTTCTGGCTTAGGGACAGACATGAGGGCACAGGGTCTCAGAGCAGGCAGCCTAGAGCCCAGGTCCCCTGATGCTCCTGTGCCCGCCACACCACATGCCCTTCACCAGAGAAGGGGGCACAGCACAGTTTCCTGATGACGGTGAGCAGCAGCCCAGCACAGCCCTCAGAGGCAGCTGGCACCTGGGTGGGGGGGCTGGGAGGGGGGACAGCTCTGACAAGGTGACGACGGGCATCCTATGGCAGGATGCTTCTGGAGAGAGTTACCTTCAAGGGAGTGAAGGGAAGTGACGGGAGCTGCCTGGAGTGGGGGTGGGGTAGAGAGGGACACGGTGTCCCCCAGCAGCAGCTCTGGTCAGGACAGACCTCCTTCTGCAGGGGGACTGAGGGAGCCTGGGGTCCAGCCTGGGAGAGTCCTGGCCAGAGAAAGAGGGGCAGGAAGAGAGAGTGCAAGTACACCTGCAGGAGTGAGCCTGGGAATGCAGGTCTTTGTGACTATGTCTATTTTAAAGAAACGCCCCTCTCTGTATGGAGGGGAATCTCCATGCGTGCATCTGGGGGTCGCATGTCCATTTGTACCTGCGTGCAGGCACAGTGAACTGAGCGTGCTGGGTGGGTGTGCTTATTTCCATGTGTAAGCATGTGCGTAGCCGTGCCCCTATTTTCCCCACAAATGTTTATTGAGTGCCTACCATGTGCCAGACTCTGTTCTAAGTCCTGGGAGATGGCAGTGGACAAAACCGACACCTCTGACTTTGCGGGGAGACGGGCCATGAGCGAGGTGAATAAGCTGATGATCGAGTGATGTGAGAAGGAGGGGAGTGAAGGAGGCAGGGCTGGAGGGGAGGGCTGGAGGCTGGGGCAGGGTGAGTCCTTGGAGGAGGCACCTCTGAGCTGGGGCTTGCTGGTGTGAAGGAGCAACTGTATTTGTACGTGTGTGTGCACATGTGTATGTACGTGTGTATGCATGTGTGTGTGCACATGTGTATGCATGTGTGTGTGCATGTGTGTGTGCATGGGGAGAGTTGTGAAGGTGAGTGTGCACGCACAGAGACGAACAGGAAGTACACAGGGCAGATGGACTTACGGAGGTGGCTTGGGCTTTGCTGGCCCCGCCGTCTGGAGCCCTCTGAGCTGCCCGGGGTAGGAGACTGGCAGCAGCCACCACCAGAATAATATTCATCATCAAGCACCTGTTGTTTCCTGGGCTTCCCAGCCTCCCAGGCACAATGCGAGCCCCTCATGTGTACGCTATAGTCTAGTCTTCACATTACCCTGGGGTATATATATTACTGTCACTGGTTTACAGATGGGGAACCTGAGGCTCAGAGTGAGTAGCTCACCAAGCTGGCAGGTCTTGGAAGATGAAGAGCTGGACCTTGAGCCTGGCAAGGCTGGGATGTGAGGGATGCTCTTTTTTTTTTTTTGAGATGGAGTCTTGCTCTCTCCCCCAAGCTGGAGTGCAATGGCACAATCTTGGCTCACTGCAACCTCTGCCTCCTGGGTTCAAGCGATTCTCCTATCTCAGCCCCGCTGAGTAGCTGGGATTACAGGCACCTGCCACCATGCCCCGCTAATTTTGGTATTTTTAGTAGAGATGAGGTTTCACCACTTTGGGCCAGGCTGGTCTTGAATTCCTGACCTCAGGGTGATCTGCCCACCTCGGCCTCCCAAGTTGCTGGGTTTACAGGCATGAGCCACCACACCCGGCCAAGAGATGCTCTCTTGGGCTGTACAGCGTACGACCTTCACAAGTGTACATGGGGAACCCATCCTGGCAGGCTCCAGAGCCTAGTTCTGGCTGTCACACAGCCACACTCTGAAGGTCTGTCCCATCTACCTTTCTGCCAAGTGATAGCTGGTCGGGGCGCCCCCGAGGTCTCACATGCTAGCACCACTGACATGCCATCGATCACCGTGCTGTCCAGGGGGCCTCTGGTGATGTTAGGGGCGATGCCTGCAAACAGAGAATTGGGGCCTTTTAGCCACACCCTGGGATTGGCCCCCCAAGTCAGAGGTCCAGGGGCCTCCAAGCCCACCGAGGGCCAGGCCCTCATCCTCTGCCTCCCATGGTCAGGGGCCTCCACGCACATGTGTATGCATGTGTGTGTCTCCAAGCCCACCGAGGGCCAGGCCCTCATCCTCTGCCTCCCATGGTCAGGGGCCTCCACTAGGCAGGATGTGGGCATCTTGATGGGGCCCCAGTGTTGGGAGGAAGCCCAGAGGGGCCAGGAGGACTCCCCTATGCCACCTGCCCTGTGGAAGGACCCAGGTGACACCAGTCCCTACCCTGCTTGGATTCTCAGGCCTGCATTTGGGGGAAACTGAAGACCCCAGAAGGCAGTTCACATCCTCCCTGACAAGGTTATTGGGGTTCACAAGCCAAAAGTGAAAGGAAGGCTCTGGCTTCTTAAAAGAAAAACAGCCACAGTCAAGAGGGGGACTTGGCCACTTTCTAAGCGACCCTGCCCCAGGAGCTCCATTCGGCCGTGGCCACTGTTTAGAGTTGGAGCAGCCTCCTGGTTCTGCGCTCCCCTTGCTTCATCCCAGCACTCAAGGAAGGAGCTCGCCAGACACGGGAACAGAGCTAAGTTCACCTGTACTTGGAAGTCAGAAGCAAGACAGCAGCCCCATGGTAGCCACCTTCGGGGCACACCCAAAAGCTCTCTGCCCCACAGTTGCCCTGTCTGGGGCCTCTGTGGGTCTGGTGATGAACACTGTGGAGCTCAAAGAGACCCCTGAACATCCCCGTGTTTCCTGAGGAGCCCACCAGCACTTTGCACTTACACAGACCTCTGAGCTTACGGGCCACTCACAGTATCATCTTTTTTTTTTTAAGACAGGGTCTCACTCTGTCACCCAGGCTGGAGTGCAGTGGTGCCATCTTGGCTCACTGCAACCTCTGCCTCCTGGACTTGAGTGGTCCTCCCACTTCAGCATCCCAAGTAGCTGAGAGCGCAGGTGTGTGCCACCGTGCCTGGCTAATTTTTTGTATTTTTGATAGACGAGGTTTCGCTGTGTTCCTCAGGCTGGTCTCAAACTCCTGGGCTCAAGTGATCCACCCCGCTTGACCTCCCAAAGTCCTGGGATTGCAGGTGTGAGCCACTGCGCCCGGCCCACAGTATCACCTTTGACTGCTAAAGCAACTCCGGGAAGTGGCCAGGGCAACTATGACAACCCCTGACAGAGACTCCAAGGGCAGAAAGGGATTTGCAAGCAGGAGAACTAAGAGAAAAGCACCAGTTCTCTTCTTTGGAAACATGAGCAGGTCCTCTGGAATGGGGTCACTTCCGCTCTGCCTGGGAACCCAGGGGCAGTTGAAATGCCAGAGCTGGTACCCATGGTTGGTTTCATAGCTCCTTTTCTCAAAAAGCCGTGAACCCAACCTGGGCCCCAGGACACTGGAGAGAACTTCTAGGGACTGGAGATTTCCTCCAGGGCTCTGGACTCGGGGCTGCAGAGGCAGCAGGGGTACCTGGCTGTGCCCCAGGCTGCTGGGCAGCAGGCAGCCTTTGGGGATCCTCTCTGCATCACGGAGCATGCTGTGCTCAAGAGCCCCCTGAGAAGACCTTGGAGGAAAGCTGCGTCCTGGGAAGAGGGGCTCACGGGCAGGACAAAGGAAGGCCCGACTTACTGGTGACAGCCAGGTAGGTGGAAGTTTGCACCTCGCCGGCTGCATTGCGGGCGAAGCACTGGAACATGCCGGTGTCATCGGGCACCAGGCCGCTGATCTGCAGGCCCCCGTCGCTGCGCTGCCGGAAGCGGGCCAGCTTCTCCACCTCCACCACGGCCGCATCCTTGTACCAGGTGATGGAGGGCGGCGGCACACCTGTGGGCAAGACGTGGACCCACTCTCAACCTGCCTCCTGCCTCCTCTCCGCCTAGGAGGGGTGCTTGGGCGGAGGCCAGGCCTGGAAATCTGCGAGGGGGTCCCTGGTGAATCTTGGTGTCTAGAACCTTCTCAGAGGTGCCACTTTGGGTCTAGGGAGAGGAGGAAGATGCTCTTAGAGTGACAATTCTCAAAGTCTTTGGGATAGAGTAAAGATCCTGGGATCAGTTTAGCATGGAAATGCTGGATTGGACAAACTAATTTATTTATTTTATTTTTTATTTCTATCTGTGTAGAGATGGGGTCTTGCTAGGTTGCCTAGGTTGGTCTAGAACTCTTGGTTTCAAGCGTTCCTCCCACCTCAGCCTCCCAAAGTGCTGGAATGACAGGTGTGAGCTGCTGCACTTGGCCCAATTTCTTATTTTTTATTGCAATACTTAGCAGACACACGTGTGCTCTGGGAACCTCCAAGTGGGGATACTTTCCCAAATGCATGGCGCCCTGTGTTGAAGAGCACGTAGAGGGCCCAGTGTTCCCTGGGGGGCACCTGGAAGCCCCCCATACCGGCTTTGCACATGGAGGTGAAAGGAGGCTCCTCTCCCCACTCTCAGCCTGGCACGTTTTCAGAAGTTCCCCCAGCCGGGCTGGGCGCGGTGGCTCACGCCTGTAATCCCAGCACTTTGGGAGGCTGAGGCGGGTGGATCACCTGAGCTCAGGAGTTCGAGACCAACCTGACCAACATGGTGAAACCCTGTCTCTATTAAAAATACAAAAATTAGCCTGGTGTGCTGGTGCATGCCTGTAATCCCAGCTACTCAGGAAGCTGCCTCCTTGTACCTGGGAGGCAGAGGTTGCAGTGAGCCAAGATCGTGCCACTCCATTCCAGCCTGGGCGACAGAGTGAGACTCCGTCTCAAAAAAGAAAACAAAAAGACTTCCCCCAGAAGAGTTGGCCATACCCCGTCCCAAGGAGCACCCCATGGCCCTGTCCCCACTAAGCTTACTTGCCTTCCTCTCCCGGCACCCTCCAATCCTGACAGCCTGTGATGCTGCATTTCATCCAATCCACCATGCGCTCTCTTTCCCACGTCACGTCTCCGCGATCAGGATGTGTCTTATAATCGACAGCATGTCATAATTTAATTGGCTGCCTTTTTTCTTTCTTAGTGGTCCATAAAATAATGGGGCATCTTACAACCCATGGCATTTTAGATGAGATTAAATAAGGTATCTTTATTTGTTTATCGGCTTGCCCATCTCCCTCCCGAGAATGTTACGTTCCACAGGAGCAGGGATCTGGCTGTTTGGTTTATTCTGTATCTTCCCACTCCTGAGGACACTATCGGCACATGGTAAGCCTTCAAAATATATTTGCCGCCTGAATGGATGGATCTTTGCCTTCCCCTTGTGGAGTCTCAGAAGGGAAGTCATTACTCATCCCCTCCAGTGCAATCCTCGCTCCTGCAGAGCCACATTTTGCCCCTTTGCTCAGCGTGTCCCACTGTGCATGCTCTTCTCTCTTTATCATCCCGGATTTCACCCTGGCTGCGGGCTCTTTTGGTGGAACTGAATCAGAAGGAAGGATGATGAGGAAGGGGAAAGTAGAAATTCTCCAGGAACTCTTTCAAGGGGGGTTAAATAGGAATAGCAGAGGGAGCTGGCAGAGGAGATGGAGCAAAATGGCCCAGGAAACAGGCCAAGTTTATAAGACACATCTGAGGTGACATGCGCCCGGGTGCTGCTAGTTCTGGCATTACGGTAATTTGTCATTGTCTACAGCTCTCAAATTATGGGCAATTTGGGTCTGTCACCTGTCCTGAAATTACGGTAAGTTGGGTTCATTTGTAACCCTCAAGTTATGGTACTGTAAAGGTTGATTTCCAGCCTGAGATTATGGTAATTTGGCCTGTTTGTTTCCTGGGGTGCCTGCTCAGACAGCCAGACAGACTCTCTGCTTAGTGACATGGTGTGGAGGAGAAGCTGGAATTTAGAAATGTCCATGACAAGGACGAGAGAGGCTGAAGATCTGGGATCTTTGTCCCCCTCCATCGGTGCCACCTCATTACCTTTGGCCCGACAGGGGATGTCCACCACTTTCTCCATCTCTGCAGTGATGTGTCTTTCTGGCTCCTTGACAAACTGAGGTGGTTCTGTAGGAGGAAGGACCAGGGGAGGGGATCAGAGCCATGCTCCCTTTGATCCAGCCACTGTGGGGATCACCCTTAGGGAGGCCCCTCCCCGTGCTGCCGCTACCCCTCAGGGGAGCCCTAGCAGCCCCGCCCTGTCTCACCCAGCACCGAGAGGTAGGCGCCCCGGACCACAGAGGGGACGCTGCTGCTGCGCAGGACAGCCTCGCACTCGTAGTAGCCAGCGTCGCTGCCAGTGGGGTTGGGGATGGTGAGCCGGCGGTTGTGGTCACTGATGCCGCCTGACAGCAACATCCCGTCCTTCTTCCAAATTATATGCAGCTTGATCAGGGGCCTGCAGAGGGCAAGGGAAGGCCAGTATTCAGCCATGAGGACTCCCGGAGCCCTGAGAGGCAGGGCAGGGGGTGGTAAGGAGTGTGGGCTTGGGAGCCCGGGCTGCCTGGGTTTGCCACCTTCCTGCCACTTTGTAGATGCAAGATCTTGGGCAAATTCCTACTGGGCTCTGGGTCTCAGTTTCCTCTTCTGTAAAGTGGGCGCATCTGTGCCTACCCAGGGGGTTGTAGCCAAGGTGAATGCATTAGTGCCAGTGAAGTGCTTGGAACAGGGCCTGCAGACGGACTTGGAACTCAGGGCTTGGTGGCTCAGGCAAAGCAGGAAAGCAGCCTGGCCTGCAGCTCTTTCTTCTGGTCTTCCCTGTGTGCTGTGCCCCACCCAACCACAGATCAGTGACATGGAGGAGATGAGGATGAGAGCAAGTGACAGAGAGCAACATGAAACACCCAGAGTTTGAAAAGGGGAAATAAGGGCAGACAAGACAGACAGACAGACAGACAGACAGAGAAACCCACCCTCCAACTGCAAGAGAAGAGCAAGGGTGTGATTCTGGCCTGGCTTTCCACCATCACCAGCCCCTGCACCCCCTGCACCCCCTGCACCCCCAATACTTAGTCTGTCCAGGCAACTCCTGTTTAGCACCTGGTGGGTCACTGAGGATGGATCTTCCAAAGTAGGGCCCTGCTAGTGCCATGGGGGTATTCAGAGGCGCCCCGTGGAAAAGGAGTTCTGTGGCCACATACGTCTGGGAAACAGTGGCTTGAGTGACAGTAGCCCGAGTGATGCTGGGCAGGTTCTTCATTGAGGGGCTTCTCAGGGCTTTCACTGCGCAGTTGCACCCTGGCAGCCTTGCCCATGTCCTGGGGTTTGGATATGTTTCCCCTCCAAGTCTCATGGGGAAATGTGATCCACAATGCTTGGTGTCACGCACTTGGTGATGGAGTGAGTTCTTACTCTATTAGTTCATGTGAGAGCTGGTTGTTTAAAGGAGCCTAGCTCCTCCTCTCCCCTCTCTCGTTCCCTCTCTTGCCATAAGACACGGTGGCTCCCCTTTCTCCTTCTGCCGTGATTGGAAGCTTCCTGAGGCCTCCCAGAAGCAGATGCCTGTGCCATGCTTCTTGTACAGCCTGCAGAGCCATGAGTCAAATAAACCTCTTTTCTTTGTAAATTACTGTGTCTCAGGTATTCCTTTATAGCACAGCAAACGGGCTAATACACCATGCTTGTGAGAAACTTGGGACTGGAGGAGGATACTTTTAGAAATGCTGCCAAAAATAATAACAACAACAAAAAAGGCTGGACATGGTGGCTCGCATCTGTAATTCCAGCACTTTGAGAGGCTGAGGCAGGAGGATCACTTGAGCCTGGGAGTTTGAGAACAGCCTGGGTAACATAGTGAGACCCTGTCTTAAAAAAAAATGCTGCTACAGGACACACTGTCCCTCTCCAGGAAGCTTCAGGTCAAGGGGACCTCGGGGGGATCATCTGTGTAACCCCCCCACCCATCTCATTGGTTTAACTTCATAGTGCACTTAGGAAGGGTCAGGTCAGGCTGGGTCAGTGCGCTGCCTATGTGCATTCCGCTGGGGTTGATGCTTAGATCATTCCCATTTTACAGATGTGGAGACGGAGGCCCAGAGCACAGCAGTGAATACAGGCCTAGGGGGAGGGGGCAGTGCATTTCAACTCAGCTATTATCCAGCTGGGTGACGTTGGGCAGTCCGCTTGCCCTCTTTGGGCTCTTAAGTGGTGACACCTATGCCATACAGTTGTTTTAGGAGAAAGGAGGTCTTGTGGGAAGGTGCTTAGCATGGCGCAGAGCATGGAAGGCACTTAGCTGCACATCATGAGGCTCAGGGGTTACATAATTGCTTCCTGTGTGGGTGAGGTGAGGGCCGCCCATGGCTGGGAAGGGCCCTGGTGGTTCCTAACCCCCAATCTGCCCTCCTACAAAGCCCGTTTTTTTTTCTTGAGACGGAGTTTCGCTCTTGTTGCCCAGGCTGGAGTGCAATGGTGCAATCTCGGCTCATTGCAACCTCCGCCTCCTGGGTTCAAGCGATTCTCCTGCCTCAGCCTCCCAAGTAGCTGGGATTACAGGCATGTGCCACCATACCCGTCCAATCTGGTATTTTTAGTAGAGACAGGGTTTCTCCATGTTGGTCAGGCTGGTCTTGAACTCCCAACCTCAGGTGATCCTCCTGCCTCGGCCTCCCAAAGTGCTGGGATTACAGGTATGAGCCATTGCGCCCAAAGCCGTACTCTTAACCACCATATGAACTGTTTCCCATGCACACTTCCCTCCTGCACACCCCTGCATGCAAGCGGGCTCTGCTCTGAGAGGCCACCTGCTCCCTCTGGGCTCCTCCAAGGGTTAGAAGTGAGTCCACCCTCCCTCCGGTCCCGTATGTCCCAGGCTGCCGTCCCCTTCCCTGTAACTTCCATCCAGGGCCTGGGTTTCTCTTCTTGGGCTGCAGAGAACGAGCCGACGCTGGTTGCACACAGCAACCCTCTGACAACAGCCAGCGGGTCTCCCCGCATCCCTCCTCCTCCGTCCTGGATCTCAGGTGTTGTGGCTTCTGGCTGCTCTCCCTGGAGCCCGCAGTTTGGGAGCAGCAGCTGGAGTTAGAGGCGCAGGAGCGAGGGAAGAGGCACTACCCACCTGGCATTGGCCACACACTCCAAGGTAACCTCCGAGGTCCCGGCCACCACGCTGGTGTTTTTAGGTGGGATGATGATGGTGGGTGCGATGGGGTCTGCAGGCCCCCCTACATCTGGGGAGAGACCAGATGTTAGCTGGGGGCAGAGGTTGGAAATCCTAACCCTTCCTGGCCTCATTAGAGGCTGACACCCTGGGAGGCCTTTGTCCTCACCGAGTGGAGGGGGTGGCCATGGGGGCAGCCCCAGAGCAGACCTCCAGACACTGACCCCAGGGACTACCTGATCCCTCCTCTTCCTCTGTTGATGAGCCACCACACGAGGGTCCAAGGAGAGACTTCGCTGACCTTGACAGCCTTCCCCACCCCTCCTGTAAAGCAGCCACACCCCCTCTCCCCACCACCACCCTGTCCTATTCCATTCCCTTCAAATCCTTCCCTCTACCTGGGTTGACCTTGTTGGTTTAGTTCTGCATTGTCCACTTCCTCCACCAGAATGCAAACTCTCTGTACTAGGTCAAACAGTCACCCGCCCCCTCTCCCCACACACCTCCTGCCAATTCATGTCCACCCAGCACCTGTAAATGTGACCTTATTTGGATATGGGATTATTACAGGTGTAATTAGTTAAGGTGAGGGCATATTGGATCAGGGTGGGCTCAAGATCCAATATGACTGGCGTCCTTGTAAGAAGAGGGAAATTGAGACACAGATGCACAGGCTGGAAGCCTCTGTGAAGACAGAGGCAGAGTGGAGGGATGTGGCCACAAGCCAAGGAATGCCAAGCATTGCTGGCCACCGCTGGAAGCCAGGAAGAGGCAAGAAATGAGACTCCCCTAGAATCTTTGGAGAAGTATAGCCCTGCCGACACCTTGATTTTCAGACTTCAGGCCTCCAGAACTGTGAGAGGCTCAATTTCTGTTGTGAGCTGCTCAGCTGGTAGTACTTTGTTGTGCAGGCCGTAAGAGACTAAAATTCTCCCTCACCAGGAACCTCATGGGTCTTTCCTGTGGACTGAGCTGTGTCCCCCACACATTCATAGGTAAAGCCTTAACCCCCAATGTTATGGCATTTGGAGGGGTCCCTTGGGAGGTGATTAGGCTTAGATGAGGCCACGAGGGCCGGGCCTCATGAGGGCCAATGAGAGTCCCAAGGAAAAAGAAAAATATTCTCTTGACATATTGTCAACTTTTGCTTAGAAAAGCATCTAATACTTTAATTCTCCCATTGAATGAAATTAAAGAGTTAAGGATGAAACTCTTAGAAAGCAGGTTTCCAGGTACTTGTTAGGTGTGAATATTTCCATATTTCAGATTCATGTCCTTGTAAGAGGAGGAAGAGGCCAGAGCTGGCTCTCTTTCCGCCATGTGAGGACACCGCTGGAAGGCAGACATCTGCAAGCTGAGAAGAGAAGCCGACCGTGCTGGCTTCCCAGTCTGGGACTTCCAGCCTCCAGGATGGTGGGAGCCAGAACGTCTGCTTTGTAAGCCTCCAGCTGCAGTGCTTTGTTACGGCACCATGAGCTGACTCATGCAGTCTTTTTTTTTTTTTCTTTTTTTTTTTTTTTTGAAACGGAGTCTAGCTCTGTTGCCCAGGCTGGAGTGCAGTGGTGCAATCTTGGCTCACCACAACTTCTGCCTCCCAGGTTCAAGCGATTCTCCTGCCTCAGCCTCCCAAGTAGCTGGGACTACAGGCACCACCACCACGCCCGGCTAATTTTTGTATCTTTATTAGAGACAGGGTTACACTATGTTGGCCAGGCTGGTCTCGAACTCCTGACCTCAGGTGATCCAGCTGCCTCAGCCTCCCAAAGTGTTGGGATTACAGGCATGAGCCACCACGCCAGGTCATGCGGTCTTGACAACCACCACTCCTCCAGCAGGAAGAAGCATGCCTGGCACACAGTAAGTGCTCAAATACATGTGTGAAGTGAACACATGAATGGAACTCGAGTTACCATCGTCCACTTCCCAGGGTCGATGATTGAAATGAAAAAGAACTTCCCATAAGTGGGTTTTATTGGAAAAAAACACAAAAAAAGAGAAACACTCCAAACTCTTCTAATAGAGGTGGTAGCATTTTCTTTTTTTTTCATTTTGAGTATTTTTAAAAGTAGAAGGCTGGGTGTGGTGGCTCACGCCTGTAATCCCAGCACTTTGGGAGGCCGAGGCAGGCGGATCATGAAGTCAGAAGATCGAGATCATACTGGCTAACGAGGTGAAACCCTGTCTCTACTAAAAAATAGAAAAAAATTAGCCAGGCGTGGTGGTGGGCACCTGTAGTCACAGCTACTCGGGAGGCTGAGGCAGGAGAATGGCGTGAACCTGGGAAGTGGAGCTTGCAGTGAGCTGAGATCGTGCCACTGTACTCCAGCCTGGGTGACAGAGTGAGACTCCATCTCCAAAAAACAAAACAGAAAACAAACAAAAAACACATAATAAAAACAAAACAAAACAAAACAAAAAAAGTAGAGGCCAAGTTTTTATCTTGGTGGGTCAGTGTAGGCCCGATATTGGCAGAAACTCCAATATTCTGTATGTGCCTGATCCATGGCTCCTGAAAATACAGCCTCTGAGGACTTTTTCTCCACAACAAATCTATTCAGTTGGCCCCTTTCCAGAAGGTTCTGGAGGTAGTAGGCCACAATGACACACCAGACCCCGGTGTGACAGTCACAGGCCATTCTTTATGGGGTCGGGGGAGGGTGCCCAGTGGCTCCACTGCCACTCTGGGCCACCTTGTCAGCCCTGGGTAGGTTTTCCTTCCTTGACTCCAGGCCTTGCTAGAAAAGGCCCAGGAAGCATGGGAATAAAATGTAAAAAATAAAGTAAAATGAAGGGGGAAAGAAAGGAAGCATATAAAGCAAAATAATTGCAACAATATAAAAGCCTCATGTAGGTGCCATAAAGAGCGATCGGATTGAAAGCTGCTGATATAGCTGAATCCATAAAAGTGTGCTCTAAGTTGTTTATTACATGCGGGGGCGCGCAGGTACCGTGGCTCAGATTAATGGGGCACAAGTAGGAGACAGACAGTTAGAGCCCAAGCCAGAGCGCTGCGCGGCACAGCCAGGTAAACAGGGAGCCCTCGAGGAAGGCGAGTTCTGAGTTTAAAAATACGAGGGCTGCCCCAGGGCTCGGAGCTGGCTGGTTGGCTCTGGAAGGAATGGAGGAGAGATGGCCACGTGCTCAGGCCCAGGTGGCAGCCTGCAGGGCTCGACGGGGGCTGAGGTGGCCAGCGATGCTGGCACAGGGAGAAAGGGTCCCAGGAGTGAGGAAGGCCTGGGCTCAAAGCCTAGCTCTGCCCCTGGGTGTCCTGGTGACTTCATCCTACTGAGTTTCAGACTTCTCAGGGGCGAAATGGGATGAAAGTTACTACCTCTCAAGGTTGTGTGAATTCAGGCCCCAGCTCAACAATTCTTTCCTGCGTGAATGCTTGACACGTGCCAGGCTGTGTTGCAGGCACCGGAGATTCCCCACCAAGTGAGATGGCCAGGGTCTGTCCTCATGGAGGGCAAGGTCCCAGAGGACGTCTAAGCAACGCTCATGGGGTTAATGAATGAAAGAGCATGTGATGGTTGCCAGGAAGGGGGCAGCTGGGCTGGTATGGGGTGAGTGCAGAGTGCCTGGCACACAGTAGGTGCTCAATAAATGACAGCCTCCCCTCCTGGAGATTTGCCTGCCTGTGCAGGGAAGACCTCTCCCCGCCAGCCCTAGTCCAAGTGATAGACTCAGAGGCTATGGAGAGGTGGGAGTCACAGGTTCGGGGACGCACGTTAAGCCCTGCAGGGTGCCGGGCAAGGCTTCGGGCGTTTCATGGGGTAGCTTCCTGGGAGACAGGGGGAGTTGAGTGGGTCTCGGAGAAGTGAGTCCGGGAGCAGATTTACTGTCAATGAAGGTCATCCCAGCACAAGTGGGTTATTGGGGTAAATGGGGCCCCAAAGGTCAAACCATGAAAATCACAGGCGAGCCCAAGAAAAGAGGAGGGGTGTCTTCCCGGTGAGCTCCTGCCATAGAGCGGGCCCTGGGGTGGGAGGAAGTGTTGGGGGCTCCCCACACGGGAGGCCACACTGGATCTCACTGCCCCAGATGCTTTGCGTAACAGCCACAAGGGACATCTAACGTGATCCATGCTCCCCGAATCACCTCATGGAATCCTCCCATTTTCGCCATAGGCACCAATTTACAGATGGGGAAACTGAGGCTCTGAGACCATGTGACCCACCTGGGCCACTTTTTTTTTTTTTTTTTTTGAGACCGAGTTTCGCTCTTGTTGCCCAGGCTAGGGTGTAATGGCACGATCTTGGTTCCCCGCAACCTCTGCTTCCTGGGTTCAAGCGACTCTCCTGCCTCAGCCTCCTGAGTAGCTGAGATTACAGGCATGTACCACTATGCTCGGCTAATTTTTTTGTATTTTTAGTAGAGACGGGGTTTCTCCATGTTGGTCAGGCTGGTCTTGAACTCCTGACCTCAGGTGATCCACCTGCCTTGGCCTCCCAAAGTGTTGGGATTACAGGCATGAGTCACTGCGCCTGGCCCTGGACCACCTCATTTAATCCTCCCAACTTTGCCATAGGCACCACTTTACAGATGGGAAAACTGAGGCTCAGGGACCATGGGACTCGCCTGGGCCACAGGTTGGTGAGCGGTGGGGCAGGAGTGTGAGCTTCTCCCCTCTCCTGGACAGGCTTCTGGGATGCCTGTTCTCCAGCTGCCCAGGAACCAGGGTATCCAGGCCCTGTGACCTGAGCAACCCAATGTGGGGGCCACAAGCCACACGTGCCTATGAGCTCCTGCAATGTGGATGGTGCCCCTTTGACCTAATGTGATTTAATTTAAACTAATTTACATTTAATTAAGAACGGATCCCCAATTCAGTTATTAGAACACTTTTAAGCATGTGTGGAACAACTTATGCATACGACTCTACTTTTCAGCTATAAATTTTGTGAAATCTAAATACAGATCACGTATTTCGGATGAAAATTTCACATCCAGATTGAGATGTGATATAAGCGTAAAATACACAAGGATTTCAAAGACTTAGTATGCAAAAAACCAATGGAAGATATCCCATTAATATTCTTCACATTGATTGTATGTTAAAAAGATAACATCTTGTTATGTTGGGTTAAATAAAATAGAGTAATAAAATGAATGTCAACGATTTCTTTTTACTTGGTAAAAAATGGGGCTACTGGAAAATTTAAAATTTCGCATGTGGTTCGCATTCTATTTCCTTTCGGCAGTGTAGCACTGATCCCCGGGTATCCACCCAAGCATGGGGTTTTCAGGAGCTGTGACAGTCTGGATGAGGTCACCAGGGTTATCCTGAGCAGGGGGCAACTTCTGGGGTCACCGGACTTGCGCTTTCCTTCTCTGGTTCTGAAGAGCATAGGGTCCCTATAAAGAGGTACAGAAAGGGACTCCAGAAGGGATGGAGGAAGCGGTGCAGAGGGGAGAGCAGAGGGAGGGGTGAGACCCAGGAGAGAAATGAAGGGAGCTGGCGCTGGTGGTGGGCGAAGCGGCAATTGCTCCTCACAAATTGGTTGGCAGGCAGGCAGGCTGGGGATTTGTGTCACGGAGAGGAAGAGGGTTTTCAAGTGCAGTCACTTGTGGGAAGAGAAATTAGCTAAAAATCAGCTGATTCTGCTCTGAATTCAGGATAAATCAGCGTGCGACGGCAGGAGGCCAAGAGGCAGTGGGGTGGGAGAAGCAGACGACTGGGCAGGACTTGGGTGGGTACAGGTGGTAAGGGAGGGGCCCTGCCCATCTCCCTGGGGCCAGCTGGAGGGTCGGGTGGTTTGGGATGGAGCAGAGAGCGAATAACCCCAAAGTCAGCCAGGAAGAGTAGCCTAGTTTAACACCTGTGAGGAGGAGCTGGGTACCGGAGGAGGGGAACAAAGAGGAAGGCCCTGACTCTGTCTCAGGGTAAAATGAGTCACCCAGGAGGATGCCTGGCTCTGACTTGGACCATGAACCACTCCTGTGTCTCTGACATTGTCTCTTACCAAATGATGGGATTCCATGAGACTCCAGGGAATCTGATCACTAGAAAATATGTGGGGAGAAGCATCTCTCTTTGATGACTAAATTCCCTTCTCCTATAGAAACAGCAGCCCCAGGGTATGGGCTGGGGCCCAGGCTGCTGGGACTTGACTGAGACCCTGGCTTGATGTTAGAGGTTACACCCTCAACCCTGATGGTCAGTCTCCAGATATACTTGCGACCCTGATGGGTCCGTCTCCAGAATGAAACTCGCCTCCCCGCATTCAGATTTCCTTCTAGGCAGACTGGATGCTGAGTAGGGGAAGGAGATCCCTGAGATAATGGGAAGTGGTTCCTGCTGAAGTTTGAAAGGCCCTGGAATGGGGATGGCAAGGCCTGGAAATGTCCTGGGCCCTCTGGACACTGACAGCAGAGGCTAGGATCAGAATAAGAGCACAGAAAGGCCCCCGGCTGGTCCGCACCCTCATCTTGCCACTGGTGGGCAAGTACCATCAAGACCAAGGATGATAAAAGAGGCTTGCTTTGAGAGCAGGAGTTGTACAGATGTGGAGGGAGTTGAACATCTGCCTCCTCCAGCTTGTGTGATGGCTCAGCTGCTGCTGCTGCAGGAAGCTCTGGCCTCGCCCCACATACTCTGGGATTTGGGTCTGGGTTGCTCCTGGGCTGTCCGCCCTTCCTTCTCTGTCTTGGGAACGGAGTATGGAGGGAAGGGCTAGTCCAGTAGGGAGAACCAGGCCAGAAAGAACATCCCAGCATCTTGTCCCTCCCAAGAAAACTGGCTTCAGTCTTGGCTGGACAAGCGTCTCTTTGCCAAAGCACACCGAGGGAGTCATGCTTTTATGTGTGTCTCACTGTGTGGTGAGTTCTAGAGAGGGATTTGTCCCTTTCGCCCAGGGAGCTGGAGGTGTCTGACGCTGGAGGTGTTTTAGGTGGGTGCCTGGGCAGAGGGCCTGTGTTCCCATCAGCAGGGACCACCTGGCTCCTAATATAGACAGCACTTTTTATGTGACAGCCAAGTAGAGGCAGTTAGTATATTTCTGTAAAAACAAGCTTCAACCCTGCAATCACCCGCATGCCCTCCTGGTCAGCATCTGAGTCCCGATAGTGGCTGCAACTCACACACCCACACACTCTTCCTCTGCCCCACCCATCCCTGGGTCCCTGGTAGCCCTGCTAACAGTCGTGCTAAGCATCCTCTCTACCGATGCAGGATCTCAGGCATGTCATGGGAACGGGCTCCAGCATTCAGCTGCTCCCTTTCTGCCCGGGCACCCCTGGCTCTGCTGTGTCTCCTCCTCCTTGGGAAGGCTCCCCTGGCTGTCCCCCAGCTTCCCTGGCCCCCTCCTCTGCCACTCCATCTTCTCAATGATCCCCTGGAGCACCATTGCCAAGATTTAATGACCCGCTGCGCGATCGGTCCCAGCCCTGCGCGTACTTACTCTCCACGGCGAGCGTGATGGGCTGGCTGGTCTTGTTATCCCCATTCTTGTCGTTAACAGCCTGCACGTAGTAGCGACCTGCGTCAGGGGCCACCGTTGACAGGATGACAAGGGTGTTCTCCAGCGTGATGGCTCTGGGAAGAGGAAAAGGATTCCTCTGACAGGGGCCTGAGGGGCTCTGAACCTCCAGGGAGTGGGAGCGGAAACCCAAAGGGGGCAGCCTGACTGTACCTCCCAGTCCCCAGCCTCCCAGAGCCCCTCCTGCCACCCCTCTCCCCAGCCTCTTACCGCCTATATCCCACCATGTTTAGTTTGCAGAGAATTCTAAACACGGTGCTGACGCTGTCAACCAGACCCAGAGACAGCACGTTCATGTCCAGACACCGAGACCACCCAAAGGAAGCTTCCCTGGCCCCTACCGCAAGCTTGGGCGAGGGACTTCCAGGTATCCCCTTGGAATTTTGCCCTTTCCCAGGTCACAGCCTCCACGGCTGTGTGTGGTTACTTCTGCATCATGAGTGTCCAGACACTGAAGAAATATTCTCAGCATGGATTAGTGAATGTCGATGAATGAATAAGTAAATGACAAATGAATGCTAATGAATTTAGAAATGCAGGGCCATTCCAGAATCCAAGTCTTAACCCTAATCCTAAATCTGTTCAGGAATGATGTACTCGAAGGCCACAGGTCGCCTGGTAACATAAACTTCTGGAAGTCCTGCCTCCCTCCAGTTCCCTTTCTGGGTATCAGTTTCTACCTCATTTTGTTTGTTTGTTTGTTTGTTTTGAGACAGAGTCTTGATCTGTTGCTGAGGCTAGAGTGCAGTGGCATGATCTCACTGCAGCCTCTGCCTCCCGGGTTCAAGCAATTCTCCTGCCTCAGCCTCCCAAGTAGCTAGGACTACAGGTGCACGCCACTACCCCTGGCTAATTTTTTGTATTTTTAGTAGAGACAGGGTTTTACCATGTTAGCCAGGATGGTCTCAATCTCCTGACCTTGTGATCTGCCCGCCTCAGACTCCCAAAGTGCTAGGATTACAGGCGTGAGCCACTGTGCCCAGTCTTTTTTTTTTTTTTTTTTTTGAGACAGAGTTTTGCTCTTATCACCCAGGCTGGAGTGCAATGGTACGATCTTGGCATTCCTGTTACTGCTTCTGTTCTTTCCTCATTAGTGCCTCCCGGGTTCAAGTGATCCTCCTGCCTCAGCCTCCTGAGTAGCTGGGATTACAAGTGCATGCCACCACACCCGACTAATTCTTGTATTTTTAGTAGGGACAGGGTTTTGCCATGTTGGCCAGGCTGGTCTCAAACTCCTGCCTGCCTTGGCCTCTCAAAGTATTGGGATGACAGGTGTGAGCCATTGTACCCGACTGGAGTTTCTACCTCTTTGAAGCTCATAACCAAGAGTGGGACTAGGTGGGCTGGTTAGGAGGGAAAAGGAGGCTGCTGTGCTTTGGGGTACAGCAATGGGCTGTTTACCTCAGCCAGTTTCCCTTGCTGGGATCCCATCATGCAGCCCCTTCTCAGGCCAGGTCTTCAGGCAGGGAAAAGGGGCTTGTCTGAGCAGGAAGCTGGAGACTCCATGGAATGTGGGTGCAGTGGAGCCAGGAGCGCCACCCACACCAGCTCTGCCTCCCTCCACCCATTCTCCCAATGACAAACAAAGCCATTAGTTTGTCAAGTATATCTCTGGATTTTAATGTGATGGGCCTGAGACAGCTGCTTAAAACATCCTTAATGTTAGTTTAACAAGGACAAATCCAGTTGAATTCTTTTCAAATTTTCCCATTAGGTGAATGTTACAGAGTTTTAAATAGGCTTTCAAATAAATATCCCCAATAATGCTTCTCCAGCCCAGCTCGCTCCCAGCCTGGCTGTGCTGGTTTTCAACCCCCTCTCTCCTGGTTTTAGTGCTTCACATGCTGAGAATCACACCCTTGGTGCAGCTCTGGGAAGCAGGAAACCAAGCCCTCCTTCCCCCAATTCCTGGGTACCCTTCCCTTATGATGCCCCTCTTTTTTTTTTTTTTTTTTTTTTTGGGAGCTCTTGGCCGGACACAGTGGTTCACTCCTGTAATCCCAGCACTTTGGGAGGCTAAAGCAGGTGGATCACCTGAGGTCGGGGGTTTGAGACCATCCTGACCAACATGGAGAAACCCCATCTCTACTAAACATACAAAAATAGCCGGGTGTAGTGGTGCAGGCCCGTAATCCCAGCTACTCGGGAGGCTGAGGCAGGAAAATCGCTTGAACCTGGGAGGCGGAGGTTGCAGTGAGCCGAGATTGCACCACTGCACTCCAGCCTGGGCAACAAGAGCAAAACTCCATCTCAAAACAAAACAGATAAACAAACAAAAAACAAAAACAAAAAACAGGAGAGTTCTTTTAACCTCCAGTTAATGAGGCAATAGGAGGTGGGGCCAGAGCCAGGCAAAAATATTTCAAAAGCTTAAAATCAGACAGGGATAGTGGTCATTTTCCCACCTGGGAGTTTCCTGCCGGGACTTGTCCTTAGGTGCAGCATGTGAGGGTGGCTGAGAGTTGGAGGAAGGGCGCTCCCCGTGCAGGGCTCTGGCTGTGGCAGGGGTATGCTCTAGAATGGAGCTGTGGCCCTAGCCTCTAAAGGGCATGGTCTCGAGGCCCAGCAAGGAGGGCAGCTTCTTCCTTGTTGGGCCTCAGTTTCCTCCTCTGTGCAAGGGTGGAAGCAGGTATTCTGTAGGATTTCTTCCAGCCCAGAGGTTGAGGGATTCTGATTCCTGTTACTGCTTCTGTTCTTTCCTCATTAGGCCCAAGATAGCCCTGCAGTCCACCACCTGTCCCTTCCCACCCCGCAGACTGGCACACGGCCAGCTTCAGGGCTTAGAGGATTCCAAGTACCACACGCCGGGACCAGCAGGCCCAGCTCCCCCAGCCACGCCACATCCATGACTAACATAGAAGCAGCTTCAAGGAAGCCTCTAGTGGGCACACTGGGCACAGCTTGGCCCACATTCCAGTTCACCCACCTGTCTTAGGACCCCTTTGGTCTCTAAGAAGGCTCCCACCTCCGAATTCATCTCTTTCTTGATCAGGAAGTCTCCTTCGGCTGCATTTTGTCTATATCACGATCAAGCTTTCTGGGTCAGTGGTTCTCAATCAGGGTTGACTTTGCCCTCCAGGGATGACAATGTCTGGACAACTTTTGGTTGCCAACTCTGGGAGTGCCACTAACAACTAGGGGTCAAGGCCAGGGATGTTGTTAAGCACGTGTCCCGTGGTGCACAGGAAGGCCCACACAGGGAAGAGTGATTGGGTCCCAGATGTCAAGAGCGCCATGCCTGACACGGTCTGTCCTAGGTAGAGTGCATATTAAGATGGCAGACATGGCTGCTGCTCACCTCAGTCTCAGGCTTCCCTTGTGTCATGGACTACAGTGGCTGGGAAGCCAGAGACTGGCTTTGCATCTCTGCGTGCATCCAGGTGCGGCAGTGAGGCTGAACTAGTGGGATATGGAGGAAGGGATGTGCACCGCTGCTGAGCTTGCACCATGAGCACCCCCTGTGCGATCCTCATGTCCGCACCCTTTCTCTCTGGCAGAGCAGGACAACTAGGAAGGCTGTGTGCTGATGATAGCAAAACTCCTGTCAGCAGGGCTCCTGAAAGACTGTGTGGAAGACACCATGCCTCTCATCATGGTAGGACTTTAAATGGGACTGGGCACAGTGGGATTACTACCTGTAATCCCAGCACTTTGGGAGGCAGAGACAGGTGGATCGTCTGAGGTCAGGAGTTCAAGACCAGCCTGATCAATATGGTAAAACCCCGTATCTACTAAAAATACAAAATTAGCCGGGTGTGGTGGTGCATGCCTGTAATCCCAGCTACTGGAGGCTGAGGCAGGAGAATCGCTTGAACCCAGGAGGCAGAGGTTGCAGTGAGCTGAGATCGCACCATTGCACTCCAGCCTGGGCATCAAGAGCGAAACTCCATCTCAAAACAAAAACATAAACAAAACAACAATAAATGGGCAAGAAATCAAATTCTACGGTGTGAAGTCACTGAGATTTTGGGCTCTGCTTTAACTAGTGCCTGGCGGGAAGCACCCTGGACTGGGACCCCCAGGGCCTGAGTTGAAGTCTTTTTTTTTTTCTTTTTTGAGACGGAGTCTCACTCTGTTGCCCAGGCTGGAGTGCAGTGGCGCGATCTCGGCTCACTGCGAGCTCCACTTCCCAGGTTCACGCCATTCTCCTGCCTCAGCCTCCCGAGTAGCTGGGACTACAGGCGCCCGCCACCACACCCGGCTAATTTTTTTTTTTTTTTGTATTTTTAGTAGAGACGGGGTTTCACTGTGTTAGCCAGGATGGTCTTGATCTTCTGACCTCGTGATCCGCCCGCCTTGACCTCCCAAAGTGCTGGGATTACAGGCTTGAGCCACCGCACCCGGCCACTGAGCTCAAGTCTTAAACACAGAGTGGAGCAGGAGGCAGAGAAAGCTTTGACTTGCTCCCTCTGAGACCCCCAGAAAGCAGTGAAGGAAGGTCCCTGGGCTTGTGGCTCTCTCCAGAATGTCCATCTCATGGATAGACATTCCTGGGATGATGCTGTATTGTACTGTACTGGGTGCTCTCCCTGGCACCCAGGAGGGCTTCCAACTGCAGCACTGCACCCCAGAGGCAACCCAGACAGAAAGAAGCTGCAGGAAGAATTCTTGGGGGACACAGACAGCAGAACTCAACTCTTGGGCAGGGGCTGGATTCAATTTTTCAGCCACACCCCCTGGTTTCAATGTACTAGGCTTTTGCTATGGCTCTGATTGGCCCAGCCCTGCCCTCCCTTCCACTCACTGCTCCTATTAATCCAGGCCCTTTTTCTCAGCTCCCTGTGGCCCCCATTGATAATTTAATTATGAATGAAATAAATTATCCTAGAATGTGTCCAAAGCCCCCAGCATGCATCTTTATGAGGAATCGTGTCTCCTTTTCAACAATGAGCACCAGGGCATGGGCGAGGTGATGCTAATCCTTGCTCCTGCCCCACCAGTGAGAGCAGCTCTCTGTAGATAGCAGCACCTTCTGTATCCTGCACACCCCTCTGGCAGATAATGCTCATCAGATATGTATCTCTGACACACAGACACCAGGGAATTTGCTGCCAGGGACCCTTTCTGCTCACTTATGAATATTAATTTGCTGTAATTGCCAGGATAAAACCACCACAGTGTTCTATCATGTAGTTGGTAGGAACATTGCAGTGGCGTGCAGGGGCTAGGGGGTGTGTGTGACCAGGGAGGTGTGCTTGTGTGTGTAGGCCAGGGTGTTCCATCCTGGTGCCACAGGGTTGTGGGAATTAAAAGAGGATGAGGACAGAGGCTGGGAATGAGAAAAGGAGGTGGAGAGGTGTTAGGAAAGGGATGACAGGAGTAGGCTGTAGAAAGGGTTTCATCTACCACAACAAATTTAATAGGAAAGTGTCAGCACACACCTCACACAGCCATGGCAGACATTGCTAATCAATCATGATATTCATTCTAACGAGTCGAGATAGGACCTGAGAATCCTCAACACAGTGTTCCAGGCAGCCACTACCAACTGACTGGCTTGCAATAGGCCATGGGAAATCACTTCAGAAAGGGAGCTGGGGTGGGGCTGGGACTTGCCTACTTGTCCCAAAACCTGTGTGGAGAGCATTCCCTTTCCACAGCATAGTCTCAGCATCCATGCTAAGAAACACCCATGCTAAGAACCATTCTCTGCTGGTTTTATTGAACATAGGTTAGGTCTAAGAAGATGGTCTTGATCTTCTGACCTCATGATCTGCCCGCCTTGACCTCCCAAAGTGCTGGGATTACAGGCTTGAGCCACCGCGCCCGGCCACTGAGCTCAAGTCTTAAACACAGAGTGGAGCAGGAGGCAGAGAAAGCTTTGACGTGCCCCTCTGAGACCCCCAGCAGGCAGTGAAGGAAGGTCCCTGGGCTTGTGGCTCTCTCCAGAATGTCCATCTCGTGGATAGACATGGACACGAGAGGACAGGGGGACACACTCTGATTCACGCAGCATGCGTCCCCCTGTTAATCTGGGGTGCCACTCCAATTCTTCACCCTGCTGTGTATCCACACTCTTTGTCCCGTGACTTTGCAGCTTCCGTCGCTCAAGAAACAGAATCTATTTTCCTACATCTTGATTCTGAGGTCTGCCATGTTCTTGCTTTGGCCCATGAGATGTTAGCAGAAGCTGGAAAAGTGTATGTTCCTGCTTCTTCCCCTGCTCCTCTGCAATTGCCAGGAAAACGTGCTAGGGCTGGCAGGCAGGAGAATGCATTGTGCCGCACAGTCAAGTCACCCCAGTCACCCAGACAAGTCAGCCAGTCCCAGACAAGTGAGAAAGCCCAGCCAAGACCAGAAAAACTACCAAGCCAAGCCCAGCCTAAATCACCAGCCTGTAGACTCACAAGAAAAAGAAATGTGTATTGTGTATTGCTCTAAGCCACTGAGCTGGTTTTTTTTTTTTTTTTTTTTTTGGAGATGGAGTCTCACTCTTGTCACCTAGGTTCAAGTGCAGTGGTGCAATCTTGGCTCACTGCAGCCTCTGCCTCCCAGGTTCAAGCGATTCTCCTGTCTCAGCCTCCCGAGTAGCTGGGACTATAGGTATGTGCCACCATGCCTAATTTTGTGTTTTTAGTAGAGTTGGGATTTTGCCAGGTTGGCCAGGCTGGTCTTAAACTCCTGACCTCATGTGATCTGCCTGGCTTGACCTCTCAAAGTGCTGAGATTACAGGCATGAGCCATTGTGCCTGGCCCACTGAGCTGTTTTGTTACACAGCATATTTGTGGCTGTGGATAGCTGATATACACTAGCATGGTGGTTCTTAACCCTGGCTTCACGTTAGAACCACCTGGGGAGCTTTTAAAAATTCTGATGTTCAAATTCCATCCCATTCCAATTAAGTCAGAGAGTCTTAGGATAGAGCCCAAGGATCAGCACACAGTCATGCACAGCATAACGTTTCAGCCAGAAACAGACCACATACCTGATGCTGGTTCCATCAGATTATAAAGAAACTGCCTTATACAGGTGTGCCATTAAAAACATCTTTTAGGCCGGGCGCGGTGGCTCACGCCTGTAATCCCAGCACTTTGGGAGGCCGAGGCGGGCGGATCACGAGGTCAGGAGATCGAGACCATCCTGGCTAACACGGTGAAACCCCGTCTCTACTAAAAATGCAAAAAAAAATTAGCCGGGCGAGGCGGCGGGCGCCTGTAGTCCCAGCTACTCGGGAGGCTGAGGCAGGAGAATGGCGTGAACCTGGGAGGCGGAGCTTGCAGTGAGCCGAGATTGCGCCACTGCACTCATGCGCGGGGCATGGATGACAGCGGCTTCTCCGTAACATCTTTTATACCATATTTTTGTGGTACCTTTCCTATATTTAGATATGTTTAGATGCGCAAATACTTACCATTGTGTTCCAATTGCCTACAGTACAGTAACATGCTGTACAGGTGTATAGCTTAGGAGCAACGGACTACACCATACATCCTGGGTGTGTAGTAGGCTGCACCATCTAGGTGTGTGTTCACACAACGATGAAACTGCCAAATGACACATTTCTCAGACTGTATCTCTGTCATTAAGCGACACATGACTGTATCCCCAAACTCCCAAATGATTTCAACAGGTAGCTAGGTTGAGATACTCTACAGGGCTTGTTCCCCACAAATACAATCTTTTCATGGAGTCTGTAGGCCTGTTTTCAGGCACTTTTCACATAATACAAGAATTAAAGAACCTGACTCTGGAGTTGGCAGGGCCGGACGCAGCTCTACCACTTACCAGCTGTGTGAGATTTGGCAAAGTAGTTAAACTTTTGGGAACTTCACTTGACTGTCTGTAAAATGCGGAGAAACCTAGCATCTCACTGGGTTGTTGTGAGGGTCATTCATTCAACAACGCCTCCTTTCCGTAGGTGCTCTGGGGACAGGAAGGAGAATGAGATTGAGAGCATCTTCTTCCTCACAGAGTGTGGCTGTCTGGGAGGAGAGGGGATGTGTGTGTCCGGGAGGAGAGGGGATGTGTGTGGTGTGCTTGGCTCAGTCCCCAGGACATAGCAGCCATTCAGTAAACGGCAGCTGCTATTATGATGATGGTGATATTGTCATTACTATTATTACTTGAGATGGAGTCTGGTTCCGTCTGGAGGCTGGAGGCTGGAGTGCAGTGGCCCGATCTCGGCTCACTGCAACCTCTGACTCCTAGGTTCAAGTGATTCTCCTGCCTCAGCCTCCCAAGAAGCTGGGATTACAGGCGTCCACCACAATGGCCAGCTAATTTTTGTATTTTTAGTAGAGACAGGGTTTTGCTATGTTGCTCAGGCTGGTCTCAACTCCTGACCTCAAGTGATCGGTCCACCTCAGCCTCCCAAAGTGCTGGGATTATAGGCGTGAGCCACTGCGACCGGCCTATGATGGTGATACTATTATTATTGTTATTGTCACTATGCTTCCTTCCCCCAACTAGACTTAATGTTCTCTAAAGACAGGAACTGTCCATCTGTGCCTCTACTCTCTACAGAGACCAGGAAAGGCTCAGTCCTGTGTACACGCAGCCTGAGTAGATGAGAAGGTGGTCTTCTGGAGGGAGGGGAGAGCTGGAGTGGGAAAGAGGAAAGCCCCAGCTGATTCCAGACCTGGGGGTGGGCTCAGCAGGGCGGGGAGACGGGTGTATCTCGGGAGGAAATGCTTTGTTGCTCACCTTCTGTGGAGGTGTGGGGTGCTGGCTCCATGGCTCCTGCCCACAGGCTGGGCTGCCCCAGCCAATCCCAGGGGCACACAGAGACGGCCTTGTGAACACTGAGAGGCCTGTGTGTTTCTCTCCCTGGGACTTCCCCGGCCACACCTCCACCTCGCAGCCAAGACACACACAGCCCTCACGCACCAGTAAACACCCTGCCAACGGACACGCCCGGGGCCGCCCGGCTGCCCAGGGGACACCAGCCTCTCCAACAACCCCTGGCGCCACCGGCCTGCGTCCTGGGCCTGTAACCGCGGTGATCGCGCCTTCGTACGTGCCTGTTTGGGTTTCTTAAGTGCTCTGAAAAGCAGATTTATTCTCCAGCTGACGGTGAAGGCAACGCCCTGGGATTCCCCAGGAAGGCGACTGAGCGTGGGTTTCATGGTCCCAAGTCCTTGCATGTGCATCCCAAGAAAGCCCCTGGGAGGTCCCCTACCTGGCTGTGTCCCACAGGAGCTGAAAGGAGCTTCTCCGCATTCAGGAGAGACTTTGTCCCCAAACCTCCGTTGCCCCACGGGCTTGAAAACGGGGTATTACTGGTGACTCCAACACACCCCCTGACAATCTTAATGGCATCCTGTTACCATTCTGTAAGTCCCCGGACCCATGGGCAAGGTCACACATCAAGTGCATCACCTCAACCATGGGCACCACATACACAGCAAATGTCATGAGGTCTCCAGGCCCCCCAAACGCGCGGTGCTTCAGCTTATCAGGAGACAGACTTTTAGCGAGACACTTTGGCAAGTGTTCCCATTGTACAAACTTCGGCGCACATCAATATTCAGCACACAAGACTGGTGTATCGAGAACCATCGCTCACTTTATATATCAAATCGTGGATGGAAGGCACATCACAACCCCCAAACGTCCCTGCACGCTCACACCTGGATACGGACAGCGCGTCGGGAGCTCCCGGGGAGATCAGTCCCAACACGTCCCTACCATCCTTCCCTTCCCTCCCGTCGCCCCCTCTGCCTCCTCCCCTTCCCCCGACTCCTTCTTTAATCTTTCTTTCTTCCTTTCCTCCTCCCTCCCCTCACTCACTTCCTCTTTCCTTCTTCCTTCTCTTCCTTCTTCTTTCTTCCTATCCTTCTTTTTTTTTTTCTTTTGATGGAGTCCCCCAACATACTGGTACACCACAGAAGGCATACAATCATGTTCAAGTGGCAGTGGGTGGCAATTCTACGGGCTTCACCTACAGACGAACACTGCCTTCGCAGGCGTTCAAATTTCTCAGCTGTCTCAGGACCTACTCAAAAACTGGATTACAGGACACCCTACACACCAATTAACAAAACCGACGCCTAAAATTTTATCATTTTTAACAAGCTGGCGTTTCACCGTGTTGCCCCAGGCTGGATCTCTGAACATTCTGAACCTAGCGAAGTGCACTCTGCCACACACTCAGCCCGCCCAAAAGTGTTGGGATTACAGAGGCGCGAGCCACCCATTAGCGCCGACCTACATCACA